AAGAATAAACTACAAAGTTTCCAAATTCCTTACCAAATTAGAACTAAAAAATAAAAACGATAAATAAATAATTAATTTGAAAGTAAAAAAAAAAAAACGAAAATGATATTATTGCGTGGGCTAGCAGGTTTTTGACACCGTCATCTTTCGCGATTTTTCAATTTTTTTTGGCTTTGTCAAACGGCATTAAAATTTTACACATATGTATGTTACATAATAGACAACCTACAAATAAAGTTAGAAAAAAAGAATATTTTTTTTTAGGCCCCGAAAGAAAGGGAAAACAAAAAGTGAAAAGAGAAAACAAACAAATTTGTATTTGGAAAAGCAAGTTTTGAGACCACCATCTTTGCCGATTTTTCATTATTTTTTAGCTCCGCAGATTGACTTCCAAATTGAGGGAAACGTCGCTTACATAACTGAGAACTCAGAAAAATATAAATTTAGAATAAATAAAATATTGAGAAAGGTAGCTTCCAAATTTACTTCCAAAAAAAAATGTTGAGAAAGGTAGTTTTCAAATTGAGAACTCAGAGAAAGGTAGCTTCCAAATTGAGACATTTGCCCGAACGCGGAAAAAAAAAAAAAAAAAAAAAAAAAAAAAAAAAAAAAAAAAAAAAAAAAAAAACGATAAAAAAAAAAGTGCAAAAATTCTGAATGAATAATATGTCATGCAGAATAATAAATTGTATATATTCGTATTGCAATGAATCCGGATAATGCGGTAGAAATAGAGGGGCATACTTGTCATATAGGGTGCGATTGTGTGCATGTCGTCAACAACGTTGGTTCGCCGAAATATATATATATATATATATATATATATATATATATATATATATTGTTTAGACGCACATCGTGATCCGTGGTACTGTGCTTTCGCGTGTGCAGGTGCGTTTGCCCTTCCGCATCCATAGAGCAGGGGCATCAACATGGACCGCGAACAACCTCCTGCAGCTCTGCCGCCAACGCCGAAATCCCCGTTGCTTCCAACTCCTCTCTCTTCATCTCCATCCGCCTCACGCGCTCTTTCTTCTTTGCAAGGCTCTCCAGTGTACCATGATATTTCATGCGGTTGAGGGAGAGGCCTTTTGGATCCACGCGGACGTACTCGAACGGATTGTATATTGGAGAGACCTGCAACCAGGCAGCGTTTGGATGACAGAATGTTCGTTCTGTCGTTCCCTCTTTTGCTGAATTTGACAAATGTCACACAAACTCCTCTCCTGAGTCACATGCGCGCAGCCATTACTGCAATCTCGACTCTCCCCACTTTCGTTGGCGATCCTGCAACGTCTTCGTTTGCGCAATCCACTGTGCTTTCTTCTCGTCCTCCATTTTTTTCGCCCATGGGCTCTCTCGCAGCGATGTTGCCGACGCCTTGGTCCGGAAGTCAGAGCATGTGCGGTGTTCAACAAAGTCGTTCAGACGCCGCACATCCATTTGGTTTGCCGCGGTCGTTCCCGTGTTCGGGCCATGACAACTCCGGCGCGGTGGACGTTGCGGGTGTCTTTGCGTCGGGTCCTGTTCGTCGAACAAAAGAGACACGTTCACCGATCGAAGCAGTGCAGCCGACATCATGCACTCTGGTTTCCAGCAACCGTGCACGCGATGTTCTTTCCCGGGCTAATGGTAGCGAGGCTGGGATGAGTTTCTCGCCTCGATCGCCCCGTACGAGGTCCAGTACACCTCGTGAATGCAGGCCTCACTGGGTGCGATGTAGACTTGATCAAAAAAATAACCTGGGTGAGATTGCGAAGGCGATGGGGAAGAAGTTGTCGACTCGCACTCGACGCTCCAAAGATAAGAAGAAAAATCATTGTTCGTACGAGGACGTGTTCGATCAGATCATGGAGTGGAGTTCCGTTCACATTGATGAGCTGATGTCAAAGTACGGCCCCGACGAACAATCGTCTGGCCATGGGGGTTCATGCGGACAAGGATCGGACGCAACGACCACACCAAAGTCGCGAGGTGACAGACCTCGCAGTGACGCATTGAAATGGCACGACGGCAAGCCGGGATATTCGGATAATGGTCCGATGTTTGAACGATTGAGCGTGAGGGACCAAATGGCCATGTGGGATGCTAAAGCAAGACCTGATGTCGTTTTCATTGAGCCGGTCAAACTTCTACAGATTCTTGGAATGTTCGAGCAAACGTGTCCTCGGCACGGGAAAGACGTTCAGGTGACGATCAAGAAGATTCATTATCCATGTCACATTTGCAAGTTGCAATTCGAGTGTGGGAAAGGGTGCACATGGCATTGGAGTTCCGCGAAGATTGTTTCACCGGGCGGGGTGAGAAATTCGAGGGTTGAGACTCAATTATTCCACTCCACTTTGACTGCGGGAATGACTTACACTCAATTGAATAACCTCCTGCGGGGCTTAGGAATGAGGAAGGTCAGGAAAGAAACTTTCTATAATTTTTTTCGTGATGACGGCCCAGGTTCCCGACAATGGCTGCGACACGTCGAACGGGTTACTCAAAAGAGCTTCGACAAGGTCATCGCGCGATTGCGTAGGTCGAACGATCCGGTCGTCGTCTTGGTTGACGGGCGTTACGATTCGTCTCGTGACACTCAGCATTGTACGGTGACGATGGTGGATTTGAAGTGAGGAATGATCGTGGGGACGGAGACTATGCTCCGGGGGAACGAGTCGTCATGGAAGCTGGAGACACAGTGTGTTGAGAAACTGCTACATCGATTGAAGGACGAGAAGAACGTCATAATCGCAGAGGTTGTGCATGATGATTGTGGCGCGGTTGACCTCATATTGCGGCGAATGAACATTGACTCACAAAAGTGTATGTGGCATAAGGCGAAGACTTTGGTCAAACGCTTGCAAGAGGCTGTGCGCGGCACGAAGACTGTCAAACCAGCTGCAGTCGGGGCTTGCGAGCATGTGCGCGAGGTGAAGTGTTTCACAAAGAAGGAGCTCGAACTTTGGCTCGAATCAAAATGTGTACACGTGGCAGGGGTGTCCACGAGAAAAAATGATGAACTCGTTGAGATTGTTTGGGGCGTGCTCTTCCCTGACGAAGCAGGGAAAGCGTTGCCAGATGATGTCGTCGAGATCGACGTGTTGCAAACACTGCACTGCAATGCTGCGCGAGCGAAGGAGTGGTTGTACGACGTTTGCAGGCTGCGCGAGCGTGCAAAGGATGACGATGGCGATGTGTTGGCCACTCATGTGCAACACCTCACCGATCATTGGGCCTGGGATCACTCCCGTTGCGATAAGGAGTTGTCCAACCTGTGCAAAGCGGCCGGGGGTCCGGACAGGGATCCATTGTACGAGGCGGGGGGGCGTGTTCATTTCGTCGTCGCACACTGTCTTCAACAGTTCGCTTCGAATACGAAAATGGCGTACTACACACGTGCGAGGATGACCTTCAACAACGAGTGCTTCCACTCCGTGATCAACAAGTACACAACGAAACGCTTGAACTTCCCCAAGTCGTATGAGGCGCGAGTGTGTTGCACCGCTTTGGAGTTGAACAAAAACAAACGAATCAGGCGATTACGAATGGTCTTCCGCAAACCAACAAACGTAACCCATCGACGTTGTTCGACACGACAGCATATATACGCCGCACGGGATACGTCGTGGCGCTTCGACATTGCAACTGCAGTTTTTGGCAGCCCTCGGGTCGGAGATTTGGCACGTAACATGTTGCAGCAATCGTACGTCGACGACCCAGTTATTGAGCATTATGATGAGGAAGCCGAGTATGGACTCCCTGATGTCGTTGAGAGTGCGGTGGAGGGTGTTGTGGTCGAAGGTGACAATGTTTTCGTTGAGGCGGGAAGCGAAAGTGCTTCAGATGACGAAAATTCGTCTTCCGACTCCGACACCGATGGTGCCGCTCACCTCCTCGACTTTGACGGCACCGTTCTTTCACAGGAGTGATAGTGTCACGTACTACATCGATGCCCATTGTCGTCGTCATAATCATTAGAATGTTATGTTCTCGATTTGAACTGGTTGTGATAACTGGTTGTGAGAACTGGTTGTAATTTTGAACTGGTTGTGATTGATTGTGATAACTGGTTGTGAGAACTGGTTGTGAGAGATGTTTTTCATGTATACTAATTGTATATATGTTTTGTGTACACTTTGTGATAACCGGTTCAAAATATATATATATATATATATATATATATATATATATATATATATATA